CTATTCCTAGACAGCCCACCAACACATGGAACCCTGCTAGACAAACTTGCCCCATCCAATGCTCCTAACCCTAATTTACCCTCCCGTCAAGCAGAGGCAGTTGTCTCAGACCCTTCTCCTACTCATATTGTCCCCCCTCCTTATAACCCTGCCTCTTGGAAATCATCCCAAGAGCCTGTTCACTACCAGCCTAAGTACCCTTCTCTGAAAGGACTTCAACATGAGATAGAGCAATGTAAAAAATACATATTCAGAACTTCCCTTTCCCCTCTACCTCAGGAGAATCAGCTCTAGCTCTCTTCTCCTTAAAAGAGGTGCCCATAGGAGGAGGAGGCATTGGTTTTATAAATGCTCCTTTAACCAACTCGAACATCCAAACTTAAAAAGAGAGCTCAAGCTACTGTTAGACAACCTTTACAGGTATTACCAGACCAAAGAGAAATGTTATCCAAACCCCTCATGAGAGAAGTTCTTTCTTATTTGCATCAGGGAACTAACTGGGGACCTCAAGCTATGGATGATGCAGCCCTCAGGGTTCATGGATGTACACTAATTTATACTTTAGCAAAACAATTTACAAATAGCTGACTTGTACGTAAAAAGATTAATAAGCAAACCCTCAGAAAACTATCTCCTGGAGGGAGAAATCCAGGATTAAGCTGTTTCAAAGTGTCCAAGTTGATTACCTCGAAATGCCCCCAGTCGGCCACTTAAAATATTTATTAATGACAGTAGATCACCTTCCTCATTGGATAAAATCTATTCCCTTTTCAAGTGCAACTGCTAATAATGTAGTCAAGACATTAGTTTAAAATATTATACCCAGGTTTGGATTAATAGAAAATATCAATTCAGATAATGGGATTCATTTCACTGCATATGTCATTAAAAAACTAGCTCAAATACTAGATATAACCTGGAACTGCCATATGCCCTGGGGCCCACCTTCAACAGGAAGAGTAAAAAGAATGAACTAGACTTTCAAAAACTGCCTAACTAAATCAGTCCTAACGACTCGGTTGCCATGGACTAAATGCCTTCCCATCACCACGTTAAAAATCTGAACTGTCCCTCAGAAAGGTATTGGCTTATCCCCTTATGAAATGCTGTGTGGGTTCTCTTCTCTACACTCCAGTGCTGACATCCCAACGTTCAAAACAAAGGATCAGTTCCTCAAAAACTATATATTTGGTATATCCCTGACTTTCTCTTCCCTCAGGACCAAAGGACTCTTAGCACAGATGCCACCCCTTGAACTTCTAGTTCACCACACCAGTCCAGAGACCATGCTCTCTTAAAAGGTTGGAAAGATGGGAAGTTCGATCCCACCTGGGAGGGAACCTATTTGGTGCTTCTAACAACCAAGATAGCCATCCGTGCCACCAAAATGGGATGGATTCATCACACTCAGATCGAAGGAGCACCACGTCTTCCAGAATTTGGACCAAATAGGGTCCCTCCCAGGTAGGATCGAACTTCCCATCTTTCCAACCTTTGAAGAAAGCATAGTCTCTGGACTGGTGTGGTGAACTAGAAGTTCGAGGGGTGGCCCTCCAGGCAGTTGTTCCAGGGTCAACTCCAACCAAGTTAAAGGTTTGATCTTATATTTCTTTCTTTTCCCTTGCTATTGCTTGTCCTCTCCTTATTAATGTAATCAGGTCAAGCTCACCCCAAACTATTATCTTTGATGCTTGTATTATTATACCCTGTGGAAATCTCCAAAGTCAAAGGCAACAGCCTCACAGAAGGATCTCTTCTCCTTTAAGACAAAAGACTCTCCCTCTCAAGACCCCTGTCCTATTACAAATGCAGGAAAACAAGTCTGAAATAGGGAAAATGACGTTATGTGAACAACCAAATATCAAGGCTGGACCTCATCAACAGCTGGTTGTATGTCCTTAAAACTGTACATTCACTTTGCTAAAGGAAGCACCCCACCCTTAACTGCCAGTATAACCAATCTAATCCAGTGTGAATTTCTATCTTGCTCCCACTTCTCCCAACCCTAAACTTACCTTAAGTCACTTGTATGGTATGGGAGCTGAAATGTTAGGGACAAATCTTACTGGATCTTTCAAGATATGTTTTATTACTCCTTCACCTCCTACACTTCCTTCTACACTATACCCCTATGAAACTACAATTCTTCCTCCACACAATGATGAAACCAAAGTGGCTATTATACAAGTTAAGGATTTAAAACAAACTGTAGCCATCAAAATAGGATATCAAGATGCAAATGCTTGGTTGGAATGGATTAAATATTCCATTTGAACTCTAAACAAAAGCGATTGTTATGCTTGTTCATATGGTAGACCAGAGGTGCAGGTTGTCCCCTCTCCACTTGGATGGTCTTCCAGCTAACCAGGTATGTAGCTCTTTTCCAAGATCCCACAGTTTGGGGCAATAAATCCTGCCAAACGTTCTCTCCACTACTCCCTAAAGTCCAACACCCTGGGGGCAGGCCCCAAGAGCCATTCAGCCTCTGTCTCCTGACACCAATTTTATCTCATATTTCTCATAACAAGGGGAAAATTTGGCATTTCTTGGAAACCTAAAGGGTTCCAGTGAACTACAGCTCTTCCAAGAGCTTACCAATCCGCCCTTGTTCATCCTGGAGCAGATACATGGTGGTATTGTGGTGGACCCTTCCTGTACACTCTGCAAGTAACTGGAGTGACACTTGTGCCCTAGTCCAATTGGACATCCCTTTCACCCTAGCATACTGTCAACATGATCAAAAAGAAAATTGTAAAAGAAGAAATGACCCTCATGGATCCTTTGACTCTCATATCATGGAATGATGGCATATCATGGAATGAAATGTGGATTTAGCATTCCTATGAGCCTACTTTTTAAGCCAGTTCAGCAAGCTGATGAGGTACAAACTTTGCTATGGGTCCCTGAAACCAATATTGTATGAAATTTCTCTATCTTGTTTTGTCTTCTTAAGAGTTTAACCTTGTGACCCTGTGGGGACACTTTAATTTCCACCATCCAGAAGGCAGGAGTTTCCACCATCCAGAGGACAGGAATTTTGGGGCCCATGTGATGGCACTAAATTTTTTTTCCTAAGCAGTTAAAAACTTTTGCAATCTTGAAATTGGCTTCTCTAAGTTCCTAGGAAGAGCAATAGAAACTGCTGAATGCTACAGTTTTGATTTATGAATCAGTAGCAATCCTAAGGGAAAAGAATAAATCTGGAGCCTTTGCACTGCTGAACAGTTACCAAACAGTATAATACTAGTATAAAAATTGGCATGCAGATTAATGGAACACAAGAGAAACACAGAAATAAAGCCAAATACGTACTGTAAACTGATCTTCAACAAAACATACAAGAACATAGTTTGGGGAATGAATACCCTATAAAATAAAGTTATGGGAAAACTAGCAAGCCACATGTAGAAGAATGAAACTGGATCTGTATCTCCCAACTAATACGAAAATCAACACAAGATAGATCAAAAAACTTAAATCTAAGACTGGAAACTATAAAAATTCTAGAGACAATGTAGGAAAAGTTTCTAGACATTAACCTAGACAAAGAATTTATGACTAATATCTCAAAACTAAATGCAAAAAGAATGAAGTAAACAAATTGGTCCTAATTAAACTATAAATCTTCTGCACAGCAAAAGAAATAATCAGCAAATATGCCATAGGAGAAAATGTTCGCAAGCTACATATCTAACAGTAAGGGTATCCAGAATCAACAAGGAACTCAAACAAATCAGTAAGAAAAAATCAAATATTCTCATCAAAATATGGGCAAAAGACATGAACAGGCATTTCTCAGAAGAAGATACATAAATGGCCAACAAATATTAATTTGCAAAAAAATGCTCAACATAACCAATCATCAGAGAAATGCAAATTAAAACCACAATGAGATACCACCTTACTCCTGCAACAATGGACATTATTGAAAAGTCAACAAACAACAGACATTGGTATGGATGGGGGGAAAAGGGAACACTTATACTCTGTGTCAGAGGAAATGTAAATTAGTACAACCTCTATGGAAAGCAGTGTGGAGATTCCTTAAGGAACTAGAAGTAGAACTAACATTTGATCCAGCAATCCGCTATTGAGTGTGTACCCAAAGAAAAAGAAGTTGTTATATAAAAACGACATTTGCACATGTATGTTTATAGAAGCATAATTCACACTTGCAAAGATCAGGGATCAATGTATATGCTACACATTGACTAATCCTGGATAAAGAAAATGTGGTGTATATACACAATGGAATACTATTCAGCTATAAAAAAAAAATAAGGCCGGGCGCGGTGGCTCACGCCTGTAATCCCAGCACTTTGGGAGGCCGAGGCGGGCGGATCACAAGGTCAGGAGATCGAGACCACGGTGAAACCCCATCTCTATTAAAAAATACAAAAAATTAGCCGGGCATGGTGGCGGGCGCCTGTAGTCCCAGCTACTCAGGAGGCTGAGGCAGGAGAATGGCTTGAACCCAGGAGGCGGAGCTTGCAGTGAGCCGAGATCGCGCCACTGCACTCCAGCCTGGCGACAGAGCGAGACTCCATCTCAAAAAAAAAAAATAAATAAAACAAACAAAAAAAATAAAATAATGTATTTCACAGCAACTTAGAGCTAAAGGCCATTATTCTAAGTGAAATAACACAGGAGTGAAAAACCAAAAACCATGTTCTCACATGTGGGAGTTAAGCTATGAGTACACAAGTCATGCGGAGTGATACAGTGAACTTGAGATGCAGGAGGTAAAGAGTGATGTGGGGCCAGGGATGAAAGAACTACTCATTAGGTACTATAGATACTATTCGAGTAACAGATGCACTAAAATCTCAGAATTTGTCACTATATTATTCACTCACGTAACAAAAAACCACTTGTACCCCTAGAAGTTATTGAAATAAAAAGTTTTAAATAATTGAAATTAAGCCACCAAGGAAATTTGTCAACTTAAAAAAAAAAGTAACAATATGTTTTAGGATCACATAGGACACAGGACAGTTCAATTATTTTCATTTCCTCAACAGTTTTATTGCATCTTCAGAAAATTTCTGTAACAGTGTTACAAAAGCATAAATCTAACAAAGTTGAAAGAAATTATAAGCACAGAATTAAAATATTTACGTTTTCAAGCAAACTCAACTGTCATTAATTTTCATAATTTTATAGTGAATAGAAAAACAGGCTGGGTATGGTGGCTCACGTCTGTCATCGCAGCACTTTGGGAGGTAGAGGCAGGCGGATCACTTGAGCCCAGGTGTTTTAGAACAACCTGGGCAACATGGCTAAACACTGTCTCTACAAAAAAATAAAAATAAAAATAAATAAATTAGCAAGGCATGTTGACATAGTCCTATAGTCCTAGCTTCTCCAGAGGCTGATTATGAGAGGACAACTGAGTCCAGGGATGTAGAGGCTGCAGTGAGCTCTGACTGCGCCTCTGCACTCCAGGCTGGATAACAGTGAGACATTGTCTCAAAAAGAAAGAAAAGAAAAAAAAGGAAAACAAGAAGGAAGAGGAGGAGGAGAAAAATAAATCGAAGTTTCTTCATTAAAAGATCATAAAATATTTGAGTTTGGTTCATAGAAATTAATTTATAACCTTTAAGTTAGGTTATAAATTTCATATAATTAGTTGTGTTTCAATGTAATTTTAAGTTGAAATATACCCAATAGCCTATACCTGGCATGAGAAGATATACAGTAAACAAAACAAAAAAGTTACAATATCAAATGCTTTTACCAAATTTATTATCCCAAACACTTTCTCAATTTTGATGACATTATTTATAAATGTTAATGATCTCTGTCATCAGAGCTTTGTGTGGAAAAAAGTGAACACATAAGGCTCTTTTTCCTTATTCTAGTTTCCTTTTAAAAGATGTTCCAAATGTAAACAAATTTATTCAAAGCAGTTTCCATACATTTAAAATTAAAGAAACATTTCAGTAATTTCATAACAAAAGTTTAAAATAAAAAGACATCTTTCTAGGTCTTCTAGCTAGAGTGCTCATCTTACATAAAGCTGAAATATTGTCATATGTCATAATGTCCCTTTTCCAAAGAAATAGTTGTACTTTGAGAAACATAAACAAGGATGAACACTACAACACACAGTATACAGTGGGACTTGACTTCTCCTCAGTGGTCCTTCTCTAAGGCCACATCCCTGGGATTTAAGCATTCCAGAAAGGAGCCAAGAAGAATCTGAAGTTCATTTGTAAATTCTAGTAAATCTAGTAGTTCATTGCTTTCTGGATTGAAGGCTTCCAAGTCTTTGGAGGAAGAGAACAAGATACTTGCTGAAACCTGTCTGTAAAACTCTGCCTCTGCAATTGGGATAATTTTCAGATGTGGAAAATTACAGCGAAATATGCAGGATGACATTTTCAGTTTCTTAAGTACGTCTGAAAGCAATAACCAGTTTCGTTGTCTGCAAAATAAAAAGAAAAGTAGTTCCAATTTCTGGCAAAAATAAGAGTTCCCCCAACCATTAATTATCATCTTGAAAAAACTACCTTGTAGGCCTAACAGGAGTCACTTACTTTCACTTCAACACCCCTGCCATTTCTCACCATATCCACTCATAGACCAACATTCTTCTTTCAAGGTAAGGGTAAGTATCTACTTCTAATCAGGGTAACTCTGGATTCATCTGGTTATTGGACATTTGTAGAAGAGCAAACTGAATTATACAAAGCAAGGGAAACACCTTAGTGAGATTTATCATAACACCTACTCCACTGCTTTCACTGCTGATGAAAAAATATTAAACTCCTGTTGACTCAGCTCTCACCATAATTTGGGTAATGACTCTTAATATGTCTCACTAGGCTTACCGAGATAAGTGAGTCTGTACCCCAACCCAAAAGGATAACTACAAACACCTCTTTGATCTTTCTTCTTCCCCAAGTCCATTCCTTTCACACACTCTGCAACACAACTTTACTATTTCTATTTCTAATAAACTTCAAATCGAAACCACATATCATCTTCTCTTAGTTAGGATGCCTATCATCAAAAGACAAAAATAACATTATGTTGGTGAGAATGCAGAGAAAAGAGAATGTGTGTATGTTGTTAGTGAATTCCTCAAAAACTAAAAATAAAATTAGCATGTGATTCAGCAATCTCATGGTTAGGTATATATCCCAAAAAATCAAATCAGCATGTCAGTAAGATATCTGCGCTCTCATATCTACTGCAGCACTCTTCACAATAACCATGACATGGAATCAACCTAAGTGTTCATCAGCAGACAAGTGGATTTTAAAATGGAATATATTTACATAATGGAGTGCTAGTCCACCAAAAAATAACTTGAATCCTGATATTTGCTTCCCAAGAAGCCCTTGTAATGATCTGTTGAAGCATTCCTAGGACTCCTTCCCAAAGAATTTAGTAAAAGAAACTTCTGTGCTTCGGGTTCTGGAGCCTTACTTGCATTGGTGGTGTTCTTTTGAGGATAATTTATACTATACTATAAAACCAATTAATTAGCTGAGTATAATCACTCTTCTAAGAAAAAACATATTTGCTACATCAGGTAAAACCCTTGGGCATTTAGCACTCACCCACCCTCATCTACTTCAAAAGCGCTTTAAGTCCTGCTACTACCCACAAAAGCAGCTCGGCCAATTTTCAGTGACATGGCAGCCATGCTCACCCCTGCAAAGATGAAACTTGAATGTTATAACAAGGTAAGAGAGGGCTATCTGAAAATTCAAATTCAAACACATCACTGCAAGCCTCATTGTCATCATCCTGGTCCTCTTGTCCTGGGGGGTTTGCCAAAACACTGGATCCCCCTTCATTATCTGGTTCTAATGGAGAAAAGAAAGAGATAAAGGTGTTAGTAAGCAATAGTGGAATTTCAGCTGTCATGAAATGAAGAACTCTAAATAAAAATATAAAAATAGATTCCTTTCCAACACAGTCTGTTTTATAGCATGCACAACCTATCTTCCCTCACCCACACCAAAGAAAAATGTCCTCTCTATTTTTCACTGAATTAAAAAGAATAATATTGCTCACCACAGACAGAGCTGCCATAGAACTCCCAAGAGCTATTCAGCTTATTGTCACTGCAACCCTGTAGGTCATTTAAGTAATCTGGAGAGAGAGGAAAAAAAAAGATCAGCTTTTTAAGAAAAGTTAAGATGAGTAATTCCAGCAAATTTGCAGGATACTAAATCAACATACAAAAAAACAGTTATATTTCCATACTAGTGTATGGAAGTAATCCATTTCCATACTTGTGTATGGAAATGTAGTCTAGTAATGCCTGGGGCTTGCATGATAAGTTCTTCACTGAGTTACACAGACGACTCTAAATAACCTCTACTATGGGAAGTTTGAGGTTTCCATTATCCAGAATCAAGATGTAAAAATATTTATTTGTTTAAAAATTCTTGGTAGGAAATCCAAATAATTGGGGAAATCTTTTACAGTGTTAGTGGTAGAAACAGATCAAAGGAAATATAGAATCAATGGCTACTCACTGAAATAATTAGCTTCACTAGACTACTGTATTATGCAATACAAAAAAAGCCACATTGCTGCTGTTTTAAAGTCTCAAGCTTTTTAATTTGTACCCAGTAAAACTCAAATCTCAATAACCTAGTCCCCATCTAATATATGAATAAAGAACATATCTTGAACTTTGTTATTCCTGTTCCTTAATGTGACCTACCTGTTAGAAATATTTCCATAACTTTGCTGTGGGTCATTTTCATAATGGTTCTGCCTGCGTAGGTGGCCAAAGTGGGGTCAGCGCCATAGGAAAGGAGCAGGCGGACAATTTCCAAACAATCATTTTCAACTGCACCATGGAGAGGCCTAGTAAGAGATGTGCAGTGGGATTAAACTCATGCACACTTGCTCATTTCTTGACTTTTCTTTAACAATAGGCAAAATTGGATATATGTGTAACATGTGAGCCTCACAGACACAATATTCAACTGATGAAGAATGTCACTGCCATGCACAGATAGTAAAATTACTGACCCATCATCAAATGACAAATTATTGTTATACACATAATCCTTTTAACAGTACCCATGCAGGGACTATTTCAGGACTAACTCTCAAATGAAAATCTATCTCAATCCAAGGCCTGAAAAACTGAAGACAGAATAAATATTTTAAAAGTTTTGAAGGAAGCAGGGACAGGATATAAAAACATAACTAAAAAAAAAAATTACCATTATGAAAGCTAATACAACAAACAACTGTTAAAAAAATTTTTAAATATGCCTGTTTGTTTATATAAAGAACCTGTGTGCAAAGATAAATGGTGAGTTTAGACTCTCCTAAAAGCCTCTCTTGTTACCTTTCAGAGATCTGTGATCAAACTTGTGGCTCAGAACCAGGGTGGTTAGAATCAGGATGAGATCCGAAAAAATACAAAGTTCTCTCACCCATGTCTACTGGAAGATGGAACACTGCCAACAGTGCCCTCCTGATGGAATGCTGTTTGGAATGTGTGAAAAACCAAAATACATTTTCGTTTTTTTTTTTTAACTATTAGCAAACCCTAATACCCAGTCCTCAGGCAGCCACCACATTTATACCACCAGAGGATTCCACAACAGACAAATCTTGGTTTCTGACCAATAAACTAAGGTCAAAAGCAGGATGAAGTCCACGTCTGGGGATGTGGATGGTGATGACAGGTCCTTCTGAACCAGCTGTGGGACATCTGTACTCTGAGGACTCAAACGTATACTCAAATATACGTTTTGCATATAGTCACAATAAAGAGTGCAGAGTCTTACCAAGCAACACCACTAATTATTCACTAATTATTCACCACTAATTATTGACATTTTCAGGGGCTTTTGCCACTGAGAACATTGAAGAACAGTCCAACACTCCATGCCCTCACTACTTACCAACTGAGAGAAAGATATAAACCTACACACACAGGAATAGGAAGAAATAAGGCTCCAAATGCCATCCAATGGCCAAGAAAGGCCCTGAAAGTGAAGGTTGAAGGCAATGAGGAGTTTGAGCTTGGACTCTCTGGGAGACCATACACGAGGTATGAAAAAGGATTTTGAAGCTGCACAAGGCCTCATGAAGCAGAAAACTTGTTCTGTTGGGCCATGAAGGAAAGTTATGCCAATTCAAGGAAAAAATGGTCAAAATAATAATCTCACTACCCTATCTCAACCAAATGCCATTTGTGTTCTTGCTTTTGAGTACAAGAATGACTTGGTCACTGACTTTTGGAGAGAAAAGAAAATTAAAAAGAAAATTAGAAAAAAAATGGTTAGTTTTTTTTTTTTTAAAAAACAACACTATTATAAAACCACAACAAGAAAATTAATGTGACCCTAATACTGAAATAAACCCTATCTGGTGCAGGGAAACACACACACACACATCTTACACATACACACACATATACATGTGTATAAATATATATACACACCGTAACTTAAAAATCAGAATTAATCCTACCAAGGTAACCACAAGATTTTTGTTTGCTTATTTTGAGACAGTATCTCAACTCTGTCTGCCAGGCTGGAGTGCAATGGTGCAATCCTGCCTCACTACAGCCTCAACCTCACTGGGCTAGGGTGATCCTCTCACATGTCTCCTGAGTAGCTGAGATTACAGGTGTGTGCCACCATTCCTGGTTAATCACTTCCTCCCTTTGTCCCTTCTTCCCTTCCTCCCTCTTTTCCTCCCTCCCTCCCTCCCTCTCTCTCTCTCTCTCTCTCTCTCTCTCTCTCTCTCTCTCTCTCTCTCTCTCTCTCTCTTTCTTTCTTCCTTTCTTTCTTTTCTCTCTTGTAGAAACAGGGTTTCACCATGTCATCCAATCTGGGCTTAAACTCCTGGGCTCAAGTGATTTGCTCCTTTGGCTTCTCAAGGTGCTGGGATTACAGGCATGAGCCACCACGCCCAGCCCCATGTGTGGTTCTTTTTTCAGTATTATCATTCTAACAATGTAGAGGTTATAGTGATAACATTTTAAAGTAGCAGTGTGGAAAAGGAGTAACTAAAATGAGGCTGAACATTTACGAAGGTTATATCCTAACTCTTGTTAAATTTGAAGCACTGATTTTTTTACTTGTGGCAAAAATATATGTAATGTATATTTACCATCTTAACCATTTTTAAGTATTCAGTTCATGGCCATTAAATCTTTCACATTATTGTGTAACTATCACCATCATTCATCTGCAGAACTTTCAACAAGCTCTGTACCCACTAAATGGTAACCCTATTCACCTTTCCTAGCAACCCAGGCAACCACCATTCTACTTTCAGTCTCTGTGATTTTGACTTCTCTTAGCATGTTGCATGAGTGGAATAGTAAAGTATTTGTCATTTTATGATATGTATATTTCACTTAGCATAAATGAACCTCCTCAAGGTTCATCCCTGTTATGGCATGTCAGAAATTCCTTCCTTTTAAAAATAAATAATATTTCGGACGGGTGTGGTGGCTCACTCTCATAATCCCAGTACTTTGAGAGGCTGAGGTGGGCAGATCACGAGGTCAGGGGTTCGAAACCAGTCTGACCAACATGGTGAAACCCCGTATCTCCTAAAAATATAAAAATTAGCCAGGCATATTGTTGGGTGCCTGTAGTCCCAGCTACTCAGGAGGCTGCAGCAGAAGAATCACTTGAACCCGGGAGGCAGAGGTTGCAGTGAGCTGAGAACGTGCCACTGTACTCTGGCCTGGGCAGCTCCATCTTAAATAAATAAATAGAATTCATGTATAGATACCTAGCAAATTTTGCTTATCCATTCATCTAATGATTAACATTTGAGTAGTTATTACTTCTTGGCTGCCTGCTTTCAATTCTTTTCAGTATACACATACCCAGAAGTCAGACTGCTGGATCATATGCTGGTTCTGTTACTAATTTTTGAGGAACCTCCATTCTGTTTTCTATAATGACTACACTATTCTACACTACTAGCAGCAGTGTAGAAGAGTTCCAATTTCTTCACATTATCACCAACATTTGCTATTTTCTGTTTGTGTTTTTAAAAAACACTCCATCTATTCTAACAGGTGTGAGTTGATATTTCATTGTGGTTATGATTTGCATCTGCTTGATAATTAAAGATGCTCAGTTCCTTGTGGACCATTTGTGTTTCTTCTTTGAAGACATATCTATTAAAGTCATTTGCTCATTTTTTTAATTTGGGTATTTAGGTTTTTCTTGATGTTGACTTACAGGAGTTCATATATTTTAGATATTAACCATTATCAGATACATAATTAACAAATGTTTTGTCTCATTCCATATGCTTACTTTTCATTCTGCTGACTGCATATTTTGATGCACAGAAAGTTTTAAAGTTTGATGTCTTACTTATCTACTTTCGCTTTTATTGCCTGTGCTTCTGATAACATAGTCAAGAAATCAATACCAAACCAAATGTTATGAAGCACGACCCTGACCTTTTCTTCTGTCAGTTTTATAGTCTTACATCTTACTTTTAGGTCTCTAACCATTCTGAATTCTTTTTCGCATATGGCGTAAAGAAGTACATTCCTCTACATGTAGATACCCAGTTTTCCTCACACTTGTGGTTGGACAGACTGCCCTTTCCCCATGATGTAGTCTTAGCACACTTGTTAGACACCATTTGACCACATACATGAGGATTTATTTCTAGGATCTCTATTCTGCTCCTTCGGTCTACATCTGTCTTTAGGACCGTATGCTATTTTGAAGAATATTTTAAACCCATGAGGTTTGAATTTCTATATACTTGTTTTTCTTGATCAGATTGTCTTAGCTATTCAGATTTTCTTGAGATTCCATATGAATTTTATTATAGAGTTTTCTATTTCTGCTATATATACTGTTGAAATATAATAGAAATTGCATTAAGACTGTAGAAAAATGTGACATTAGCAAGACGGTAGTAAGGGAAGCCTCACAGTCTCAGGGAGAAAAAGTCTTAACAACAACTTGAGAAATCAGTTAATTTGAAGTACCCTAAGAAAGCCCAACATCAAGAAGAGCTTTACTGACACAAAGTTTACCCATGATTATCCTCCCACATCTAGCACAATGCAGAGCAACAGGAAGAAAACTCTTCCTTCCAGCTTCTCCCTAGGTAGAGAACAAGAGTGTGTGCATTCAACATCTAGCTTCCCGCACGGCATCTCTGAGAGACTGGTTCCTGTCTGCCTGACTCAGAATGCTGAAGGTACTCTTCAGATGGTCTCTTGGTCAGCTCAGGCTGCCACGACAAAATACTAGGTGGACTAAAAAAAAAACAGAAAAATTATTTCTCAAAATTCTGGAGGTTGCATTTCCAAGACATAGGTCCTAGCCAATTGAAATAAAGACTCTGGCCAATCCAGTTTCATATGAAGGTCATCTTTGTAGCTTGCAGTCAGATGTCTTTTCATTACATATTCACATGACATAAAGAGATATCTCTCTCTTCTTATAAATAAGGACGTGATCCTATCAGTGTAAGCCTTCATCAATATGACTTCATTTAACTTTAATTACCTTCTAAATATCCTATCTCCAGATACAATTAGACTGAGAGGAACAATATGTGAATGGGTTTCAGCATATGAATTTTATACCTCTTCTCTCTCTCTCTACATATAGATCTATATACAGACCAACAGATATTTCTATATATAGATAGCTCTATAGACACACATATAGATCTTTATGTGTATAGATTTCCATATCTCTATGTACATTGGGATGCATGGATAGATAGATAGATAGATAATTTTTTTTAATTTATTAATTATTATTATACTCTAAGTTGTAGGGTACATGTGCATAACGTGCAGGTCTGTCACACATGTATACTTGTGCCATGTTGGTGTGCTGCACCCATCAACTCGTCATTTACATCAGGCATAACTCCCAATGCAATCCCTCCCCCCTCCCCCCTCCCCATGACAGGCCCCGGTGTGCGATGTTCCCCTTCCCGAGTCCAAGCGATCCCACCGCTCAGTTCCCACCTATGAGTGAGAACATGCGGTGTTTGGCTTTCCGTCCCCACGATAATTTGCTAAGAATGATGGCCTCCAGCTGCATCCATGTCCCTACAAAGGACACAAACCCATCCTTCCCCATGGCTGCATAGTATTCCATGGTGTACATGTGCCACACCCTCTCAATCCAATCTGTCACTGATGGACACCTGGGTCGACTCCAAGTCTTTGCTATTGTGAACAGTGCTGCAATAAACATACGTGTGCATGTGTCTTTATAGCAGCATAATTTATAATCCCTTGGGTATATACCCAGTAATGGGATGGCTGGGTCATATGGTACATCTAGTTCTAGATCCTTGAGGAATCGCCACACTGTTTTCCACAATGGTTGAACTAGTTTACAATCCCACCAACAGTGCAAAAGTGTTCCTATTTCTCCACATCCTCTCCAGCACCTGTTGTTTCCTGACTTTTTTATGATCGCCATTCTAACTGGTGTGAGATGGTATCTCATTGTGGTTTTGATTTGCACTTCTCTGATGGCCAGCGATGATGAGCATTTTTTCATGCGTCTGTTGGCTGTATGAATGTCTTCTTTTGAGAAATGTCTGTCCACATCCCTTGCCCACTTTTTGATGGGGTTGTTTGTTTTTTTCTTGTAAATTTGTTTGAGTTCTTTGTAGGTTCTGGACATTAGCCCCTTGTCAGATGAGTAGATTGCAAAAAGCCCTCTGGCATCCAAAGTTTCTGATAAGAATCCCTTTAGGAATTCCTTCTTTCTTGTTGCTCTCAAACTTTATCTCTTTATAGTTTATCAAGCTTCTTGGATGTTTACATTTATGTATTTCATTAAATCTGGAAATCTTTCTGCTAGTATTTATTCAAATAACTTATCTCCTTCTATCTGTATATTTTCTTCATCAGGGACTTGTACATGCATATGTTGGTCTGCCTGATGATGTTTCACAGTTCCCATAAGCTCTGTTCATATCTATCATTTTTATTTCTTTTCCCAAGACTCAATAGTTTCAATTGCCCTATTTTTCAAGTTTTCTAATTCTTCTGCCAATCCAAGTCTCCTCTGAATTCTTCTAGTGAAGTTTTCATTTCGGTTTTACTTTCTGCTCCAAGATATTTTCAGTTCCTTTTTATATGTTATCTCTTTATTGCTATTTCCACATCACGAATACATCATTTTATTGACTTCACATCTTTCACATCTTTCTTTGTGTGTCTGAGTTCCTTTAACGTAGTCATTTTAAAGTGTTGGTGTAGTAAGTCCACCAACTGGTCTTTGGGGCAATTTCTGTTTATTTTTCCTTGAATGAAACATACTTCTGTTTCCTTTTTATGTTTTGTGATTCTCTTTTGGTTGAATCAGGGACATTTCAATTTTTTATTTCTACTTCTTTTCTATTGTGTAGCCAGAATCTCACTATATTGTCCGGGCTTATCATGAACTACTAGCCTCAAGTGATCCTCCCAACTTAGCCTCCCAAATCATTAGGATTACAGACATCAGCCACTGCACCCAGCTGACATTTGAGTCTTACAGTGTGGTTAACAGACTTTAGAGTTTCAAAATAGTTACAATAATTTTTTTAAAACTATTGCAGAGTGTCTCTGTGCCAAGCATCAATTTGAAGTATAGATTTCTCAGTTCTCTTCTGAGCCCATGACTTTCTGAGGCCCCTTGTACATGTGGTCAGTTTTGTTCAGTTTGCTTTATTTCTTCAATACTTTATTGGATTATAACTGACATACAAAAAGTGTAAAATGTGATGTTTTGGTTGTATCTATATACTGCCAAATGATTACCACAATGAAGCTAATTAACATTTCCATCACTTCACACAGTTAATTTTTCACATACATATGGTAAGAATATTTAAGATGTACCCGATAGGCAAATTTTGAGTATACATTATTATTCACTGTAGTTACCATACTGTACATCAGATCTCCAGACTTATGCATCCCGCATAAGTTAAACGTTGTGCCCTTTGAATAAGCTGTTTCTATTTTGTGATTGTTTTGAATGTCTTAACTATTTATAAGTCTAGCTGCCAAAAGAGAAAAATGAATAAAAAGCAGGAAAAAAGACAATGGTAAATCCACTGGAAGTAATTTCATCCAAAAGAGAAGCTGATAACAATATTTGCCTGTCTCAGTGTCTGCATCTCCTGTCTGTGATGAGAAGCAACAATCAGTGATCAGAACATAGATCTCCAATATCTGGTGGACAGGATGCTTTTTTACCCTGGCTTCTGCAACTTTATGCAAGGGACTTCAGAAATGTGTACAGGGCTACCTACCCTTGGTCCGGTGTGGAGGGAAGGTACCCTAAGGAAGCTAAGAACTGCTAAGACAGCTAATATAATAATATTAACTGCAATTTCCCTGGAAGTTATAAGATTTGAACAGACTTTAGAGTTTCAAAATAGTTAAAACATACAAATTCTGCCAATGTAATTGTCTAGATAGGAAGTCTTTACTGGTGCTATTCTGCCTATTTCCCTCTCATGTCATTAACTTTTCATGTTATATTTACTTTGGCAGAATTGCCTGATTTAGTTCTAGATGATTCTACCATTCATGTGCTCCTCACTCATGTTTTCTCCAGGAATTCCTGCATACCCTGAAAAATATTGTCTGTCCCCTAAATTGAGCCACAAGGTTGAGAGTAAAATATACCACTAACCTGGTTCCATCTTGGGCACTGCAGTTAACATCAGCACCATATCTAAGAAGGTGCTGCACAATATGGAGCCATCCACGTGCACAAGCTTCATGTAGAGCACAATAACCTGCATTGTCTTGATGATTCACATCACAATGCTTGTTCTCCAGGCAGTACAAGACCAAATCCTGTAGGGAAGAAAACATGTCACTGCACAATGAATTTTGTAATGGGGCTGTTCTAGCTTGGTAGTGTCCACTTTAAAAAATACATACTCTTATGCCCAAGAACCCACTGTAGGTTACCCAAGACATGGAGACCTTGGTAAAAGGCCAACACATGTGTGAAGGGCTTGTGATATAGACAGTGTAGTCCATGCCTCTGCAGGTTGGTGACACTGTGAAACCTGGCTCTGCTACCCAGCTGTCTGGCTCTCAGTAAGTCAGACTTCATCTTCTCCAACTCTCCATATCCTCCTCTTTAAAAACAAAAGGCTATACAGACTGGCTGTTTGGACCATTCAAGTAGACAACTACAAAAGCCCTTAACCCAATGCCTGTGTCAAATTCAAATAAAACAAAATAAAGATAGAGATCTCTAAATTTAAAACCCTTTGAGAAGCAAGAATTGCAATGCAAGACATACACTGAGATCATGGAGTCTTCAGTATGTCTGAGGAACAAAAAGAAACTTGAAGATTTCATTTAAAAAAAGAGATAGAAGGTAGAAAGAAATGTTACATATTGCTCTTTAAGAAAGTTCATTGGCACTTAGTAAAGTTTTAGGGAGCTGCAAGCTCTTACTGGTAACTGATGGTGATGAAGAATTAATGTAAAAATTTCAGCAGGTTGTTTTACTAGCTATTAAATAAAACTGGACTCACATTACAGCAGGCAGTTTCAGAAGCCAGGATAGCAGAGAGTTACATTCTTAGAGAAATAGTATGTGATCCAAATATTTTTTCCTTCTGGACTCTCAACTGTTTTAGCGAGGTGTAGCAAGAATGACCCAGTTCATATGATCAACTTTCACAATTTTTTAATCTAAGATCCTTCTCTGAGAACACTGCTTTACTTTATCTGGGAGCAACTATCTTAAAATTAGACATAGTTGTGTTTTGGTATTCAGAGGGACTTGTTTTGCCTGTCTTTGTTTAAAGTTAAGGGAAAGGTATGTGGATAAATGTCAGAGACTAGAGTCACGTTTCAGTAACAAACAAGTCAGAAAAAAATTTTTTTTGAAAATATTTTGAAATTACACTCAGTTTATTAGTTTTACAGGTATTAGTAATTATTTTGAAGTGTTAAGTAACATTATTTTGTTGAGAGGGCAGGCTTCATACAGATTAGACAGGCAATAATAATAAAATTTAAACACTATAATTAAAATAACTGACACTATATAGAAACAAGGGGAAAATAACAACAATACAACAAATTTAGTTTGTATAATAGTTTTGAATTGACAATTTAAACCTATGTTAATCAACCAAATAAATTAGGAGCACTGTATAAAACATGTTGTCATTACTAAGTGATGTTTTATCACTGGGTTGAATTAAAGCAGAGAATGTTAACTCTATAAAAGTGATCACATGTCTAATTTTGAACAAAAAATTGTGTTAAGGATATTGTGAGAGTTTACCACTAGGCACACTACAAGGATATTTTTAAGTTAGGTTTTGTCAAGTTATTTATAGCAGTTATTGATTTTGAAATTGTAATTACAGTATTATTTCTCAAGTGAAAATGTAGGCATTAAGGAGGTAAAAGTGTGATTATGATATGCAGTTTTGTTCTGATACCTTGTAAAAGTCAATTATAATGTAGAAAATGTTTTTTTCTTTGGTTTGTAGTGTGAATGCTTTTGATTATGGTATTAGACATTTTGGCAAACTTTTTGTGTGGCTCATATGTTAGCAAAAAGATTCATTTAAAAATATTTATTTGGTTTTAGTTAATAGCTTTGGGAAAAATGAAATTTTAGTTTAGCAATTTTATGGAAAAAAGTTGGGTTGGAAGGACCTAAAAGAATTTACAAAATAATGTATAGCATTACACTTTAAAAAGTGTATGATACCTTTTTTTAGGAAATGTAACTTTATTATACTGCATAACTATGTACTCTGTATTTAAAGACTGATTTCTGAGACTAGATAGCTAACGTAAGGCCAACTTCAGATTTTACTTATGGCCTTAAGGTTTGGGAGCTGTCAGGAAGTGAGAGTTTTACATTATTAATTTATTGTAAGGCTGGAAACCCTTGAAGTTATTTTATGAGTATTTTAAAATCTGACAGTTAAAGTTTTGGTGACATAATCAATGTTTTTAATTATATTTTGTTATAAATAAAATATATTTTGTTATAAATAAAATATATTTTAAATTTTGGAGAAATTAAAAGAACAAATTTTATTTTTGCTTATAGAAGTATATTTTATTAAACTATAAGTTATACTTTAAAAGACATTTTTTAATTGGAAAAATAATTTTAGAATATTTTAAGTAAAGTTTATAATGTTTCTGTTATTAATTTTGTTTTTCATTTTTGTTTTGACTTTGATTTTATAAATTTATTTATGTCTTATAAATTTATTATTTATATTATAAATTTATATTATAAGTCTTATAAATTTATAAGTTTTTTTATTAGAGTTTTGAAAGTTTTTATTTGGCTTTTTGAACTTCAAGTTATTAGAAAGTTGTGTTTAAGACAACTTTTGTTGGGCTGAGCACAGTGGGTCATGCCTGTATTACCGAGTTATTACAAAGCTGTGTTGAAGACAACCATTTATTTGGCTTAGCACAGTGGGTCATGCCTGTAATGCCAGCACTTTGGGAGGCCGAGGCAGGTGAATCACTTGTGACCAGGAATTCAAGACCAGCCTGGGGAATATGCAGAAATCCCCATCTCTACAAAAATACAAAAAACAGTTGGGAATGATGTCGCACGCCTGTAGTCCCCACTATTCGGACATGAGAGGATCACTTGAGCCCAGAAGACTGGAGGCTGCAGCCTCCACTCCAGCCTGGGAGACACAGTGAGATCCTACCTCAAAAGAAAAAGGAGAATATTTGCTGTATATATATATAAAAAACACAAAAATTTCTTTGCCTACTTCTTTCCTACCAGCCCACTAATTTCTGACAAAGACACCAATAACACACATTAGGGAAAGGACACCCTATTTACTAAATGGTGCTGAGGAAACTGGATGTCCATATGAAGAATGAAACTAGATCCCAAAACCTCACCAGACAATAATATCAACTCAAATAAAAGACTTAAATGTAAGACCCAAAATACAAACGTACTAGACAAAAACAGGGGAAATGCTTCAGGACATTACTCTAGGCTAAGACTTTATGTTTAAGACTTTAAAAGCATGGATAACACAAACAAAAACAGGGAAATTGAACTACAACCTCTGCAAAACGATCAACAGGAGTGAAGAGACAATCTGTAAAATGGGACAATATATTTGCAAACTGTTCATATCCAAGAAGGGACTAATATATAGGGAACTCAGCTCAACAGCAAAAAAAAAAAAAAAAAAGACAATAAAAAGTAGGCAAAGGATCTGAATAAACAGTTCTCAAAGGAAGACATATAAATGGCCATCATATATGTAAAAATGTTCAACATCATTAATCATCAGAGAAATACAAATCAAAACCACTCTCAGGTACCGTATTACTCTAGTCAGAATGGATATTATTTAAAAAGACAAAAAAATAAATTCTGCCAAGGGTTTGGATAAAAGGTTGTTTAACAAACTCTTGGGAATGTAAATTAGTACAACCAATATGGAAAACAATATGGAGGTTTCTTTGAAAACTAAAATTAGAGCTACCATATAATCCAGCAATCTGACTACTCAGGCTAATGAAAAAGAAAAAAAAGCGAATCCCGATAGGCAAACATGAAATCAGCCTAAATGTCCATCAGTGAATGAAAGGACAAAGAAAATGTGGTATACATACACAATATAATATTTTAAGCCATATAAATGAATCAAATGCTGTCATTTGCAACAACATGGAGGGAATTGAAGGTCATTATTTTAAGTAAAATAAGTCAAGCATAGCAAAAGATATATCACATATTCTCACTCATATGTAGGAGCTGGAAAAGTTGATGTCATGAAGGTAGAATATAAGATAATAGTCTCCAGAAGCTTGGAAGCCAGTGTAGTTGTGGGCAAGATAAATAGGAGTTGGTTAATTTAGGGTACAAGTATACAGGTATATCAAAGGAATAAGTTCTAATGTTTAATAGTAGAGAAGGGAGACTATAATTAACAAGAGTATTGTATATTTCAAAATATCTAGAAGAGAAGGTTTGAAATATTCCCAAAACAAAGAAATAGTAAATGTTTGATGTAATGAATATACTAAATAGCCTGACTGGATCATTACAAATTGTATGGATGTATCAAAATATCACATATAGGCAGGGAACGGTGACTCGTGCTTGTAATCCCAACACTTTGGAAGGCTGAGGCAGGTAGGTCACTTGAACTCATGAGTTTGACAGCAGCCTGGGCAACATGGCAAAACCTTGTATCTACAAAAAACAAAAATTAGCTGGGTGTAGTGGTGCATGCCTGTAGTCCCAGCTACTCAGGAATCTGAGGTGGAAGGATCACTCTGCCCAGGAGGCAGAGGCTGTAGTAAACTGAGATCACACCACTGCACTCTAGCCTGGGTGACACAGCAAGACCCTGCCTCAGAAAAAAGAAGGTTTTTTAACTAAAAACTTGTGATCTATTTAATTTACATGTTGCAAATTCACTGAATATCTGAAAAAGTTACTATTTTTCTAACCATCCAAGTGGCAGTCTAGAAATTTTAGTTATCCAAATACCAGAAATCTAAAGCAACAAAGTCAGCCGTCCTTACACAAACAATAACAATCTCAAAACCACATGTGCCATCAAAAGCTTTGTGACCTAAAGATGTATAGATGTGGAATTCACTGAAGCTGTTCATTGGTATAGGCCTCACATCCATCAGCTCTATACAAACAACTAAAACTGAAACTATTCCTAGGTTATTACCTATCCAAGTCATTTTAACACTTCTGGGAGTTAGTTTCCTCACATGAAAACAGTGATACTAGTTGGCAAAGCTGATGAAAGAGTAAAATGAGTTAGTCCAGATCATGTGAGCTTAGAAAGAGCACTCAGCCCAGTGCTGAGCTGACATTCGCCAACACTGTCATCACCCATCCTTGGAGGAGTATGGGTGTAGGGGTCAGGAGTGAGGGGTGATGAAGGAGTAGTGACTTGGGGAGAAACCCTGAGTCTGAATCCTTCCTCCATTGCTCAGCCCTAGGGCCACCTTACCCTGTCTCAGAAAGAGACCACTCAGGTCTGCTCCACACCCTCATATCTGAACACCTGTGCCTAACCTGCATTGCCACTTCCTGCCTGCTCTCCACACAGGGCCACCATAGCACAAGCAACACTAGATAGAGCTAATAACATCTCTTCCTCTTGCTAATCAGAATCCAAAAGGGCTCATTAAATTTCCCCAAGTCACCAAGCCTTGAATTTTGTCAAATTTTATAGCAGAAATAAGTTAGCCAGACTGGAGGATGCTGAAGCAGCCTGCCTGACTGCATGCCTGTTTGCACACTGTGACTGCACAAGCCACCAAGACAGAAGGCAGACTGGGGCTAACACAAACATGCTACTGTAACACCAGCCCAATCCCCTGATGTGAAGGGGCTGAGCTCTGCTGTCCAAGTACCTCCCACTATCCCATCCTAGCTAGCATGACCTGCCCTCTAGCTGGAAGCAGCAGCTGCTCTAGGAGTGCTCACCAGGACACTCACCTCATAGCCAAGCCATGCTGCCCGCTGCAGGAGAGTCTCACCAGCATGCCTATCGACAATAATTCTCTTTGCTCTCAGCAGCATTGGGCGAGATTGGTTGGTTTCTTGAGGGAAACATGAGTGTGGCAACTTCATGGCCTGGGAAGCTGGTAGCAACTCTTGCAAGCAGTTGAAGGGCTTCAGCTCCTGCTTGGATAATGTCAGATCATAGTTGGAACTGGGTTCAAGCCGCTTTATGAATCTTGGGACAGCTGACTATGACAAAACGAGTTAGTATACACAGTTAAGATTAAGACTACATCCTTTCCACATCCACTGCTTCCCCTCCTCCTTCCTGCAAGACAAATCTGCATGGGGAAGGCAGCTTCCTTTCCTTCCTTTGAGGTGGAATATCAAAGGAAAAGTGTTACAGACTGGGGTATGAATTTAAATTTTAATAGTTTCCAATTTTATCACCATCAAGGAAGACTATGCCTCCAAGACAGGGAAGTTAGGAGTACAATAAAAGAAAGGCTTTACATCCTTGAGAAAAGCAGGCAGGTGGGGAATGTTGGGGTGAGAGGAAATAACCCCTACATAAGCCTAAGGAGAAAACAAGTGCTAAGAGGTACCTTGCCATCAGCATTCTCAATGTAGCAGTCCCCTGTTAGCAGGAACCCCTGCCTCAGGTCCTGAGGTATCAAGTGCTTAGTTTTGCACTGTCTCTTCCCAGATGGCTTCTCACTGTTGTTGGTGTATTTCTCCAGCAGGGAGGTAGCAGGGCAATCCTCTTCCTTGTTTGTGCACAGCATATCTGTCTTAACGCTCTCTCTAACTTTCTGCTGCTTATCAGGGAGCCTCACCGATGGTATGCAGCGTGGGTGAGACAGCTTTTGGCGGCTTGCATTGTTGGATAAAAGCTTCTTCTTTGGTGGAGGGCCTGAGAACATAGGCAAGGCTAAATATAGAGGGTGCAGCATGGTGGCAGAGTAGCTAGCAGGCAAGAGACACGGGGAAAAGGGCAAAAAAAGGAGGCATTACTTAGTTGTAGCCCATGCAGAAAGAAAATACCACTGTTAACTCTTACCTGGGAGCAACTTCAGTTTTAAAATTAAGTTTTCAGACATAATTATCCCTCATACAAATGGAAAATAGGTTAACACATCAAACTGCAAGTAGCAAGTTTCTTCAAAGTGCTCAGACAAGAGAACAGAAAGCCAACTCTCTCTACATTCCACAAGGAAGTGGGTATAGGGTAGTCAAGAAGTGGCCTCTACATACCTTCTTCATTGCCACTGGGTTTGAGAGATTCTTCCAACCAGCTTCTATTGCCTTTGGCCTCTGCCCTTTTCCTGCAGAGTTTCTCTTTCATGATATCATAATCCCAGGCAGTGACCTCAGGCTGAACTGTCTGGGTCACTTCCTTCCTGCCTTGCAGACCGGGTTTGCTCTCTGCTGCCAACACCTGCTGCTCCCACTGTTCTCTAAGGTGCATCAAGTGGTGTTCCTTAGGATGAAACCCTGTAAATGTAATATACACCTTAAGGTTGGTCAGCTCACTATAATGTGGGTCTTCTAAGTGGATAGAGGAATTTGTCACTTCCCTCTAGGGCCAGTTACCTAATGAATAAATAACTACACATTAACAAAAATGCTGCCTTGAAAGGAACAAATGACTTTATGCATCACTAGTAGTGTGAAGGGAGAAGGGAAAGGAGGGTGGTTACCATCTCTGCTTTTGGGAGAGAACCTAATTGTTTTTGACCCTCTCTGGGCTTGAGTGCCTGCATCTGGCTGTGAAGCAGGGGCTCCAGGGTGGAAATCTTATGGAAGAGGAGTGGGAATAAAAACTCTTCACTGCTGTGTGTCATGGCTTCCCTTCACTGATTCTGTTTATGGGGGCTGCATGCCATATATCCATATTCCATGTCTATCCACTGTGGCTGTATGCACAGGCCCCCTGAGCAGGCAGGTAAAAGTGACAAAACTCACCTATATAAACCTGTTTTTGCTTGTTTTTTAGGAAAGAGTCCTCTGGCAACTTCTCTGGAGTAGTCTCAGTCTGGCTGCTGTCACTTGAGACTTTGCATTTCTTTTCTAGCTGGAGGATGGGGCTGTGCAGCACATCCATAGCTACCTGGTCTGTAGCTAACTCACCCACAGGCTGCCTTTCCATTAAATACTTCTCTACAGGAAGATCTTCATCCTTTAGGGCTTTAAAGGGATTGTGCTGTTTGTTTCCAGGACTATACTTGCCTAGCATGAGAGAAAACCGGAATACATAAATGAATTCAAAAATCACTATGAGAAGGCAGGATTCAGGGAACAGCTGGGACCATGTCAAGGTAATCTGCTGTTGACAGATGCTTCTTTAGAAACTGGAGTTCTCACGTTGTTAATATCAAAATCTCATAAATAGACTTCTCCAAAGGAAGGGTACACTGAAGATGAGCAGCAAGCAAAGCAGAGAGTTAGGCACATACCCCACTCATAATTCTCTCCTTTCACCTTTGTATATTAGGGAAATGAGACATAAGAAAGAAGACGAGATATCAATGTTATCTTTAAAAAAAAAAACAAAAAACTACAGTCCTTTCTTTCAGCAGCAGGATCCAATCAAGCTAGGACTGGCATAAATATCTCTACAGTAATATTTGCTGAGGTCATAATTTTGAAATAAACAAAAGACTGATGAGATTAAGACAAAAAATATGCCCAAAATGTCATCTACTGAAGGGGTAACACCAATATTCACTTGGGCCAACAGCAGAGATCATGAAGAAGGAGGGAAGGGAGACAGCATGTCAAAATAAACCTTGAGCCTTATTGGGCACAAGTAATCATCTCTCCCGTAGGGCCCATGGTCCAGGACATGGCAGCTGTCTGCAAAATCAGCAGAGGGAAGCAGCTGCTGGAGGAAGGTTGAGAACCCCCGGGCAGACCCAAGATGTGGCAAAGAGGAGTCTGGGAAAAGCCAAAGACAAGGTTTGACAGCACATGCACAATTTCAGAGACAACTTCAAAACTCAGTCTGCTGGTTGAACACATGTGGAGGGAAAAGCTTTTCACTGGAACCAAGGAGCTTCCATTTCCTGTTCAACATAGGAGGACCACAATGAGGACACTGGTCACACCAGCTGGGACTAATCAAATGTTTGTAGAACTATGGACAGCATAAGGTTTTGGATGAAAATGAAGAATATGTCACCAGAAACTGGATGAAAGGATACCCTTCCTAAAACAAGTTCAAGGAACTTGGCAGAATTGCCTTCATGTCCAAAGATGTTGTGAAAGGCAAGGCTTAAGAGCAACGAACTAGGATATCTACAAGCATACTAAGTCTTAAAACATTCATGGTACTGTATGGCTTCCTTGGCAACTTACCAGCAAAATGAGAGAAAAGAGAAATGATTTAAAGACAAAATTTGTAATTAAAAAGCATTATGAACATATTTGGCAAACTCTGTATATCAAGTAAAGAAAAAAAAGTGGTTTCAAGAGAATAAAAACAACATATAGCAAAGCTATCATTTGCTAAAGAGATCGTTCAGATATAAGGAAAACAGGTGCTATTCATCAAGACTATGGGAGAATGAGCCTGAAGGAATTTGAGAGATCTTGGAGGAAAGATATTGCCTTGTAGGCAAGTACACCACCTCAAGTATCTATTCCTTGCATTTTGTTGCAGTGATCTTTGGCTACCCCAGTGATGGCTCAAGCTGACCCAGATGTGCCTCATGTCACACTGCCAGAGGGGATAAGCCTTAATCTACAATGATATCCATATGGTTCTGATTCTACAGGTATATATAATCCCTGAGCCAGGGCCACATTCACCTGCATTATAAAGGATGTTTTGGATAGCCTGGGGCTTCAGGAAGAGTCATGTCACAGGGGGATAGCCAGATTCTCACTACAGTAATGCTTTGTGGAGCTGTGAATCTGAAGCCATCTCCAAGAGCCCAGAACTGTAGAACTACCAGAGTGTACCTTCAGCCTGGGAGAGATATAGGAATGTAACTCCAAACCATGAGAGTTTCTGGGTGGACTAAAGCCCAGCAAAACCATGCAGGCAGGAATGCCTAGGCCTTGAGGGCTGAACTCTTACCACCGTGTGCATAAATGTACGACATGAAATCAAAAGATATGATTGTCCAGCTTTATAACTCAGTGTTGGCTGGGTGGGCTGGCTCATGCCTGTAATCCCAACACTTTGGGAGGTTGAGGCAGATGGATCACGAGGTCAAGAGATCAAGACCTCTCTGGCCAAAATGGTGAAACCCCACCTCTACTAAAAATACAAAAATTTAGCTGGGCATGGTGGCATATGCCTGTAGTCCCAGCAATTTGGGAGGCTGAAGCAGGAGAATCACCTGAACCAGGGAGGCAGAGGTTGCAGTGAGCTGAGATTGCGCCACTGCACTCCATCCTGGCAACAGAAAAGACTCTGTCTCAAAAAAAAAAAAAAAAAAAAAGAAAAAGAAAAAGAAAAAAAGAGAAAGAAACAAAACAAACCAACAAACAAAAAAACTCATTGTTGTTGTTTTTCTCCCCCTTTTGTATTTTGGGGTTATCTGGAACCAGTTACTCCTTTCTTCTTGCCTATTCTCCATTTTTAAATGGGAATGTCTTTCCTACGCCTGTTCCACCATGGCATTTCAGAAGCACATAACTTCACAGGCTCACAGTAGAAGAGAAATTTGCCATATAGTAAATTATGTCTTGTGTCCCATTCATATCTGATTAAGAAGAGACTCTAGATTTTGGACTTTTGAGTTGATGCTGGAATGAGTTAAGATTGTGGGGCTATTAGGACAGAATGAATACATTCGGCATATGAGAAGGACATGAATTTTGGAGACCACAGATGGAATGCTATGGTTTGAATGTTTCCCAATGGTCAAGTGTTCGAAACCCAGTCCCCAGTGCAACAATGTTGAGAACTGGGACCTGTAAGAGGTAATTAGGTCATGACCATGGACATTAATTAATGTCATTGCTGTGGGAGTGAGTTCATTATTGTGGAATTGGGTTCATAATTAAAATAAATGAGTTTAGTCCCCTTCTTCTCTTTCCCTTGTGCTCTCTTGCCCATCTGCCTTCCATCATGGGATGCAACTGGAAGATGGAGCTCACCAGAGAAGGCCCTCGTACTTCTTGGCCTCCAGAACTATGAGCAAATACATTTCTGTTAACTATAAATTACCCTGTTTATACCAGTAGAAAACATACTAAGACATGAATTCTTCCAGTTAGTCCATTCAACTTCTTTGATCCAATTAGTCTCTCCTGAAAGTACTATGGGAGGGACTAAGGACGCAGAGTAAAAATGTAAGTATTGCCTTAGGAAATGCCATGTGCAAATGGAAAAGTATACTTTTAAACTTTTAAATTGTACTGTCTCCTCTCCCTAACTCCTTTAAGATAGAAAACATGTTTTGAAAAAAGTGATTGCATGGTGTCACAATGTGTTTGAGAGTCACAATCAGGCAGTGGCTTAGCTAGTGTGGGACCCAACCCAGAATGAACTTCCTTTCCCACATCAAGTATCAGACTAAGAAGTTCTTAACCTGAGTGTTTTAGATTCTACTTTTGTCCCTTATATCTGAACTACAGGTTGCATACAGTCATCTGTATCTCTAACACTCTCAATTGTCTAAGGCTTCTTTCTTGAGGAAATGGTTTTCCAATTAAGTTTTATCCCCACTGCAAAATTATCTCTCACCCACCTGACCTTTTGCCCAAACTGAGAGCATATTTTACTGGAAGAGTTGTGATGAGTATTTCACAAGGTGAAGTTAGTGGGCAATGACTGACTGGTAACCTCATCTCTCTGCTCAGTGAATGGCACTACCTCTATAAGACAGCCCTGGCCAACTCTGTCTACTCCAAAATTTCCCATATGGTAAAAGCTACCCAGTGAGGGTAGGGAGGTCTCCCTTTCACATACAACCTCTTGCTCCCCACTTCATGAGGAGTCCAGCCAGGAAAGGATGGCCAGCCTGCTACACAACTGTGCCTTGGAAGGTTGTAACTCATCTCATGGGCATTCTCCCAACTCTCCACATAATACCAGGAAACCCAGGGGACCATGACCTCACCCTGAACTATTATCAAGAACCCTCCATTGCTAAATTTGGGGTTCACTGCAATCACACTTACACGCATAGAGTTTCCCTACTTCTTAAAAGGACTTTTCCCCAAAACTGGTTCCATTCACCCTTTCCCAAATTCTCCAAGTCATTACAAAAAGGGACAATAACTTCAAAGAATTGAGGTATTTTCACTATTATCTCTTAGGTCAAAGATTCTCATTCCTCTAAATAAGCTCCTGCTACTCCCCTCACAAGATATTACACAACCTTACAAAGGCCAGTAATAATCCCGCCCACAGTGACAGCCCAAGAAACACAGGTTATCAGCTATAGAGACGAGAGGCTCTATGTTCCTTTGCTGCACATCTCAACCTGGATGTTCTCAAATTAGACTATTTCAATCATCACCCACAGCATTAATCACAGGGCAAAGGATATAAATTAAGAGATGCAGGGGTCCTAACCATTAGACTCTATCACTGCTGCTATTTTCAGCCCTTCTAAAAAGCAGAAAACCATGTGCCCTTGATAGATAAGAATGTGACTCTGTTATTTGAGGTCTACCACCTGCTCCCTGCAGCATGGTCTTGTAAGACACAGCACATACATTCTATAATTTGTCACAGTTGTGTCAAAGTAGAACCTCATAGAATTATTTCCATGGCAACATTTACAAGTCTCCACCTCAAAAATAAATTTTGCCACTGTTGGTGCCACAGATGCTGAGCCTTAACAAGACAGGAGAGGACTGAGACTTTTGAGGGTTTCCCATGGTCCATTTCCTTTGTAAGCAACTGTACCACCACAGCTGAGGCTAACCTTGTTATAACTTATGCCTCCTCCACCATAGGCATCAACTTTCTCTGATCCTAATCCAATGTAGTCTACAAAGCATTCAGGCATATTCTCCTGGAAGAGAAGTTTCTGAGCCAATAACTCATAACTCCTGCTCAGGCACTGCGACCGAACACACTCTAGGTCTGCTTCAGTGGAGTGGCTGGCAGAAGAAAAGGAAACCCACATTCAAGAAGGAAGGGCTAATATGTACACCTACTATGCATCAACAAAAATAAATCAATAATTTAAAAAACTGAAAAGTGTACTGTTTCTAACTATAGGGCTAGGCCTCTTTTAGAAAAGGAGATGTGTCCCTTTTCTAAAGTAAAATAATATTTCACAGATTATTAAAAGGAAATAATCTTTCACAGATAATTCATTCCTGATTGCCACAATGATTAAAAAGACAATCAGTCCTTCACTCCACAGATGGCAAAAACAGCCCATTATTCTAAGAAGACACCATACAGAAGTCAGAATCTTGTATGTGAATTGATTTATCTCAACTCCCTGGGCTCTGGGGGCAGGATCACCCTGTTGCCACCAATGTGGTAATTGAGCCACACAAGCAGGTGGCTCAGCTGTACTTACATCTCTCACGGTTATTCTGGCTGGCAATATCCTCCTCCAGAACACATTTTGGCTTTTTGTCCCGATTTCCTTTCCATCTCTCTGAGTCAGCTGTGCTGAATTTGTATGCCTTGGAGTCTTTAGTTTCTGAATGGCCACCTTTTTTCTCACTCACCTGCAACTCTGAGAAGCGCATCATTGCAAGCTAGAAAAAAGAAGAAGAAAAGAGGGATGAAAACAACAACTTATCGTAAAAGTTATTTTGTCTTACATTAAAGAAAAATATTTTCAAACAAATATTTGCCCAAAACTAATCACAGAGATAAACTCTTTAACCACACTGTTTTCAAGGAGTTTAATATATCTAGATACATAAGCTGTAAGCGTGTATATCAGTGAACACATTTTTGTGCACATTCTCTTTTGGAATAAGAACACAACACACAATCAAAACAAAATAGAAATAGCAGAAAAAAAATCACAAGGAATATAGGCTATAAACTAACTTTTGAGTATTTAGAAATAAAATTTAACTTTAAAGGCTTATATAATATTGTAATAACAATAATATGAAAAACAGAAATTTGAAGAACTGACCTCACAGTAAGCACTAGGCAGACATAAAATATTGTCCTTTTGTAATTCTTCTAGTCATGTAATTAAAATGGGCACTCAAGGGGGTCATTTAAATAACTTCATTCCTTTTTGTAAAGATAAATTCTTCTTAACATTCAAAAAAAAATGGCCTATCATCTTTGAAATGAAAGTAAAAATCTTAGAAAATTCCTATACAACATGTATCATAATTAACTATCAAGGTAAATATATGCTATATCCCATTCTGCAAGAGGTAGGGGAGTGAGTGTGTGTGTCTGTGTGTGTGTGTGTGTGTGTGTGTGTGTAAGTTGAACCATCCTGCAGACCCGCAGCTGCTACACATCTTCTCAAGCAAGTATCAAGTAAGGTATTCTGAGCAGCACTTCTAGATATATTGGTTATTTTATCAACAGAAAAATAAAATCAACTGCTAGGTAAATGCCATGCATTTTTTAGAAATTATTCACAATAATTAAAACTTCTGTTACAGGTTGAGCATCTCTTTATGTAAATACTTGGGACAAGTATTTTAATTTTTATCAGATTTTAGAATATGTGCACATACATAATAAGGTATCTTGAGGATGAGAACCAAGTCTAAACAAAAAAATTCATTTATGTTTCACATACACTTTATACACATAGCCTAAAAGTAATTTTATTCCGTATTTTTAATAATTTTGCATATGTAAAAAAGTTTGTGTTAAGTACTTGTGTGTAGGTTTTTCCACTTGGGGCATGATGTTGACATTCAAAACGTTTCAGATTCTGTAGCAAATCAGATTTTGAATTTTTGGATTATAGATGCTCAACCTGTAACTGCATTCAGGTGATGTTCTCTCATAACTTACAGCACAACTTAAAGTATCCAGACACATGTACATCCTAAGTACTACTATTCACATTCCCTTACTGGACATAATACATACATTCAAATTACCATAAGCTTCATTAGTCCAATCTGCCTAGTGCCATGTCCTACCATACTCACCCAGTCCTCTTTACAGATTTAAACTGTAACAACTGGTAAAGTTGTGAAAATTTGGGTGGAGAGGCTCATCTTCAATGCCCGTTGCTTCCACCTGAGCTGACTAGAATCTGCATACAGTTCAGTAGTGACACTGTCGAATCCGTCACCCATGTAACCTGCTGAGGTAGCGATTCTCTTTACCAGCTTAGATGACTTTGGTTTCAGAAGTTTGCCATCATTTGATTTGGCCTCATTGGCTCCATCTTTGGTGTAAATAGAGATTATGTCCATACTTAGTGGGGCACTGCCAAGGCTATATGGTTTGGAATTCTCTTGGATTTTACCAAAAGTTACAGCGTGACCATCACTCACTAAAGCTGGCTCCAGCAATGGTGTTGAAACTGGCATCCCTAGGTTCTCTTTGTTGGCTGGAGTCTGTTTGAGAGTATAAGCCTCAGGCAAGTCACCAATGTGCCCCAACTCCTCTCTTAGCATGACAAAATCATCATGTTGCTGCAGGGATGGCTTGACAACTGGCAGCTTGGCAGGCTCAGCATTCTGACCAACATTTTTTTGCTGTAAAGCTGAGTTTGGACATGTTTGCATCAGTTTTGGCATCTGATTCTTCTGGGAAGATCTACGTAAATAATCTTGTCATTTCTGCTAACAGTGCTCCCTTGATTCCAGCTGAAGTTTAGTTTTAGATTGTCGGTGTGGACTTCTGGATGAAACTCTGTACTGCTAGCTTCCAACATCTCAGAAAACTGATTCCTGAGAGTTGGGTCTTTGTGGCAGGCTGTTTCATGGGAATGAGACCTCCTCTCTGGTTTCTCTTCTTTTTTCTCTTTGTTGGCTGGAGTCTGTTTGCTAGTACAAGGTTCATGAAAGTCACCAATGTGCCCCAGCTTCTCTCTTAGGGTGACGAAATTGCCATGCTGCTGCAGGGATGGCTTGACAATTGGGGGACTGGCAGGTTCAGCATTCTGGACATTTTTCACTGTGAAGCTGGGTTTAGACATATTTGCATCAGTTTTAACATCTGGTTTTTCTTGGAGATGGTCTACATAAACAACTTTATCACTTTTGATAACAATCTTCCCTTGATTCCAGCTGGGGTTCAGTTTTAGAATGTCAGTGGGGACTTCTGGATGAAATGCTGTACTGCTAGCTTCCAACACCTCAGAAAGCTGATTCTGGAGAGTTGGGTCTTTGTGGCAGGCTCTTTCTTGGGAACATGACCTCCTCTCTGGTTTCTCCTCTTTAGTGATCTCCATGGGCCTGTGTGGTATCAACATGGGTTGTACCATGCCAAATCCGAGGGCATCTTGGTAGATCAGAACTCTGGATAGCCCATAGGCACCACATAAGGCAGTGTAGGCTTTGGGGCAAGGTGCCCAGGAAAGAGACTGTTGTTGGGCAACAAAATAGGATGAGGGTAGATAGGTCCTTTGTCATGTAAGGAGAAGGGTCTTATAGCAGTGGCCTTAGATACTGGGTAAGGAAAATAACTTCTGGGATAGGAAATTGATGGCGGCCTGAAAGCCTCGTTTGGAGACAGAAATATGGGGCTTGGTTGAAGGCCATTCTCATTTGCTTTGAAATTCAGTTTTGGGTTGCTGGCTTTGGCATCCTTGCTGCTGGTGTTGCTGCTTTGTTTGACAGGCATGGTTGGAGGCTAGCCCACTTCCTGAATGATGGATAGTGTGGTATCCACAGAGCTCCTGTTGGTCCTAGTGCCATCTGTCCCATCTGGGGTTGGAGATTGGTAACATGGAGGTAATACAGAGGTGGGGTGGCCTGCACAGGACACTGACCCCAGAACATTAGGGATCATAGTGTCTTTACCACTCATGCAAAGATATGAAGACTCTGCTGTTTTATTATCATCCAGTCTATTATCTGGTTTTTCAGCATGCTTTCACCATTGTTCTCTTCATTAGGTCTTGGCTTGGGTACTACCCAGGATGAAGGATCAGTGCGAATGATTTCAGATCTATAGATAGCACAGCCATTTCTTGGAGAAGATGTTTCTTTTGGAATCTCACTTCTGGAGAGCACTAAGCCACCTCCAGACCTGCTGTGAACCAGGCCCATAGAAGCCATCTTTTTCATATGGTCAGCTTTGGAAGCATCTACCTCCATCACTTTAGAAGACAACTCTACTGGCTTACTTGAGATGCTTTTGGTAATACTCTGCTTCTCTAACAGAGGCGGTGAGCCTCCATCTTTCCTGTCTTGAGCCACTGTCTTACAGGTGTACATGGGGACTGGCTGAGCACTTTCACCCACTTCCAGGGTCTCAGGATATTTGCTATTAGAGAGCTTGGCTGTGGGAAACTCGCTACCTATCCTGTATAGCCTTGACAGCATGACTGCAGGAGGGGTGCAGATCCTGGTATAATGCTCATGGAACTCAGAGAACGTGTCTGCAACAGCCTGGGTGGCAAGGTGGATCTAGGGTGAGGGCTGAGGGGAGGCAGGGAACACGAGAGTTGTATCCCCTGGAAAGCCGCTAGTAACTGCCTTGGTAGACGGCATCCTAGGTTGTTTACTGTTCCGAATATGAGGATAGCTGTGGGGGGTTCTGGAGACTGATGGCCATCCTCCACGGTAGGCTTTTGTCTGCACAGCAGAAGAGAGGCAGAATGGCTGAGATGGCGAAAGGCACCGAAAACCTCATGGGTGATGCCAAGAGGTGGTGGCAGGTAGGAAAATTGCTCCCTGTTTCTGTTTCCTGGAGAATATAGTGGCTGGGCCAAGTTTTAGAACTGCTGAGGTAGCAAGAACATGCTCTGTGAATACATATTTGGCAAATCAAAGGAAGGATGGATGGCTGGTGTGGCACTCTCCATGTAAGGATTGACCCAGGGTAGTTGCAGGTAATGAGCATCAAACATATTGAGAAGTTTCTGATTGTGGCTTGCAGGCCTGTCCAAGGCAAGTGTTTCTGCTGTGCTGAAAGCATTCTTTTGTATTCCATGTTGTGTTTTACATACAGCAGGTAAGCAATCTAGGGGTTTTTCAGAGACAGAAAAATCTTCCACTATCTCAGGTATATTTAGTTTGAACTGCATCTCTGGATTTATTTCTGAAAAAAAACTCAAGGCTACCTACAGTGTTCATGGCAACCTCATGATCTTGTTTGGAGTCCATTCTGCTCAAACTAGAAAGACAGTGTTTCTGGGTAACTGAAGCCCTTCCTGTTTCAGGCCTGTGTGGTCTATGATCAGTGCTTCCAGGAGGTCAATCTGATAAGCCGATTTGCATCCACCTTGGCAGAGCAACAACACAGATGTTACTTGGGACACTCCTGCAAAACAGCAGTACCAGTCCCTAAGATAAAGCGCCAAGTAGTTCAATATGACATCAGCCTAACATCTGAGCAGAAGGGGTTAAAGATAAAGTAAGAAAGATGGTATCTGTGTGAACTGCTGTTTTCCCTTATGCAGACTTCTTCTTAGGGCACTGTGCTGCCTACTTTCTTCACACCTCTGTTGAACTGTAATTCTAAAAGCATAACACAGTGATCCTTTCAGATTTAAGGGATATTAAGTTGCCTATTCACTCTGGAAATTTTGCCTTCTCAGCAAAAACTATTTCCTGCAACTTAGAAGCTACCAACTCCAAAATTCTCAGCACCACCCTCACTGGGTAAAGAACTCACACTAACCCTCACAAGGCCTGTTAAAGTTCAGATAAGATGAATATTCACTTAATTTTTCCTGAGTGCAGGAAGGCATTTTTCACAGAATAAACAACCTTCAGTGGACAACAAAAACTCCAGCCTGGGAAATACAGTGAGACTCTGTCTCAAAAAAAAAAAAAAATTAAAAATTATAGAGGACACACAATTTTATAACATAACCATCAGCTGCTACAGTATCAACAGGAAGCTGCACATATGTGCCAGGCTACTTTGTCTGTCCTGGGACTTGTTTTCAAAAGTAAGTAAATATTTCGTGCCATCTTTCAAATCCCCAGGATAAAATCACCAATATGCAGCAAAAAAAAATTGGGGCATTTCCCTGAAGAGCACCTTTAATTATTTACTGCTTAGACAGAGAAGACCCTACAAGAAAAGAAAGTTACAGGCTAGTATGACTGATGAACACATAAATAAATTATCAAAAAGTACTAGCAAACTTCATATAAGAACACATTAAAAGAATAATTAACCATGATCAAATGGTATTCATCTCTGAGAAACATAGTATAACATATGCAAATCCAATAAATGTAATACCTCACACTGAAAAAAAGAAAAAATGAAAAGTACACGATCATTGTAATATTAACTGCAAGAGCATTTGATAAAATTTGACACCCTTTCATGGTAACTCTCAACAAGTTAAGAAGAGGGGAAATTTACAGGCTACATATGACAGATGCATAGCTACCATCAGATTCAGTGGTGAAAGGTGAAAATTTTACCCTAAGAACAGGGACAAGACTACTCTTTACCACTTATTTTTGTCATAGTAGTGGAAGTCTTTGCCAGAATAGACAGCAGATAATAATAAAAGGTATCCTAACGAGAAAGAAAGAAATGAATTTGTCTCTACTTGCAGATGACATGATCTTATGTTCAGAAAATCCCAAGGCTGCACCAAAAGAAAACTGCTGGAACCAATAAATAAATTCTATAAAGTTACAGGACAAAAAAATCAATATGTAAAAATCAATATCATTTCTGCATACCAACAAACTACTAAAAAGGAAAATTAAGACAATCTCACTTATAAGAGCAACAGCAAACAAATGTAAAACTTGGGTATAAATTTAATCAAGGACATAAAAGACAGGTATACTGAAAACTACAAAAAAAAAAAAAAAAAAAAATCCAATAAACTTAAACACAAATAGAAAGATTTGTCCCTAAAATCAAAGAATTAATACTGTGAAAACATCCATTCTACCCAAAGTATTTTAGAAACTCGATGTAATCACCGTCAAAATTCCAAGGTCTCTTTTCACAGAAATAGAAAACACAAACATTAAATTTGTATGGAACCACAAAAGACACTGAATGACCAAAACAATCTAAAACATAAAGAACAAAGCTAGAGGCAGCATATTACCTGATTACTAAACATATTACAAAGAAAATCTAACAGGAGCACCTGGTATTAGCATAAAAACTGACATATTCGACCAATTAAGAATAATAGAAAACCGACAAATTACTCAAACATTTATGTTATCTTTTTTTCAAAAGTGTAAGGAGTTCAGGATACAAAAAGGACAGGTTCTTCAAACAATGGTGCTGGGAAAACTCAATATCCACATGCAGATGAATGAAATTGACTGTTATATTTGTTACACAATATACAAAATCAATTCAAAATAAATGAAAGAAGCAAATACATAATCTGAAGCTGAAAAACTACTAGAAATCTCAACAATATCAAAATAGGTAACAACTTTTTTGATATCACCCCAAAAACACAGGCAACAAAAGTAAAAATATCAAATTAAATGGCATTAGACTACAAAGCTTCTGTGTAGCAAAGGGAAAAAAGGAAGAAATGCCCCATACAGTAAGAGAACGTATTTGCAAACTGTATATCTTACAAGGCATTAATTTCCAAAATTTACAAGTAACTCAACTGAGTAACAATAAAACAATGTGAAAGTAGGCAAAGAATCTGAATAGTCAGTTATTAAAAGAATACATTCAGGCCAGCCGCGGTGGCTCAAGCCTGTAATTCCAGCACTTTGGGAGGCCGAGACAGGCGGATCACGAGGTCAGGAGATCGAGACCATCCTGGCTAACACGATGAAACTCCGTCTCTACTAAAACATACAAAAAACTAGCCGGGCGAGGTGGCGGGCGCCTGTGGTCCCAGCTACTCCGGAGGCTGAGGCAGGAGAATGGCGTGAACCCAGGAGGCGGAGCTTGCAGTGAGCTGAGATCCGGCCACTGCACTCCAGCCTGGGCGACAGAGCGAGACTCCGTCTCAAACAAAAACAAAAACAAAAACAAAAACAAAAACAAAAACATTCAAATAGTTGATAGGTCTACAGTCCTCCATACTCCCACGGAGACACCAATTTAATAAGGATATATGAACCAAATTTTACTCTGTAGACTCGTTAAGAAGCTGCAGCACCCAGTAAAATGCACTGTCAAGAAATACTGCAACCAAAAACAGCAGCCAAGTCCATGATATTTTGCTCATCTTTAGCCCTTCCTCTATCTGGTATAGTGACGAATGATCGGAGAAAACCTTCCAATTCGGAACTCCTCCCTCAGGATAGAGCAACCCCTCCCTGCTGCCAACATTGTTCTGTCTTGTCTTCAGGATGCCTAAGAAACTGGTTTCTATCTCACTTGAATCTGAAGTACTGAAAGAAACTGTAGCATCATTTGTATACCAGGATGCAGTATGCTGAAAACATGGGCACATCAGGCAACAATGAGTCTGCAATGTCAGAGGCAGGAACCAGAGGAAGTAAGAAATTGTTGGCAAATGAAGACCAAGACCAGATTGAAACCAAAACCAAATCACCTGAGAAATAGCATGGACAATCCTATAATGGAAATTAAGACAGTTAAATCAGCTATATGTGTTAAAATAAAAGCACATACAGGCAAGAGGCATCCCAGGAAAGGTAATGAGAAGTCCCAGAACCTCTATCTGGGGTGACTAGAAAAGATCTTTCCCTCAGTGAAGCCAGTACATAAAATGGAGGGGTGGCTGTTTCTCACATGCCAAAATCTCAAGAAAGATCACAAGACATGCAAGTAACATGGAAACATGGCCTAATGGCCAAATCAAAAAACAGAGTACATCACTGGAAACTAAACCTAAAGAAACTGAGATCACAGAATTTCCACACAAGGGTTTAAAATAACTGTCTTAGCTGTTCACTGAGAAAACAAAACAAACATAAGCAACTAAATGTAATAAGAAAAATAGTACATGAACAAAACTGAGACTATCAAGAGAGATGGAAACGATTTTCAAAAAAAAAAAAAAAAAATCTACAGCCGAAAAACAAAGTACTAAAATTAAAAACTCACCAGCAGACTTGATCAGGTGTGGGAAAGAATCAGTGAACTTTAAGATAAATTATTTGAAATTATTGAGTTAAAAGAGAAAACAAAAGAATAAACTGAGGAGACCATCAATATACATATTATGAAAGTCACATAAAAGGAAGAGTAAGAGAGAGGCAGAAAACATTATTGGAAGAATACGACCAAAATCTTTCCAAATTCAAAGATAAAAAGACATACAAATTTGAAAACGTATCAAATTCAAAAACTTAACGAATTCCACTAAGAATTTAAAAACACCCATACAGAGATATACTATAATAAATTGTTTTTTTGTGTGAGGGGGTTTTTTGTTCCCTAGTTTGGAGGGCAGTGGTGCAATCTAAGTTCACCACAACCTCTGCCTCCGAGGTTCATGTAGTTCTCCTATCTCAGCCTCCTGAATAGCTGGGATTATAGGCACCTGCCACCACATCAAGCTAATTTTTGTATTTTTAGTAGAGATGGGAATTTGCCATGTGATCCAGGCTGGTCTTAAACTCCTGGGCTAAAGTGACCCATCTGCCTCGGCCTTCCAAAGTGCTGGGATTACAGGTATGTGCCACAGTGCACACCCAATCAAACTGTTGATTTTTAAAGAAAAGGAGAAAATCTTGCCACATACCAGGAAGCTTTTAAAAAATTACCAGTGAATTTCTAAGCAGAAACCTTGAAGGCCAGAAGGCAGTGAGAAATTCAGTGAAAAGAAAACCTGTCAAATAAGATTACATATATACACGTACAAATACATGGCAAACATTCCTTAAAAAATGAAGTAGAAATGAAGACTTTCCCAAATAAACAAAAGTTGAAGGCATTTATTCCCACCAGACCTCCCTCACAAGAAATGCTAAAGAGAGTACTTCAAAGAAGGAATGCCAAACTGCAATAGGAAGCCCTATAAGACATAAAGTTCTCTGATAAGGTAAATATATGGTCAAATATAGAGTCCTATATTATTGAAAGATTGATGACGAATAATACTTTTAAAAGCATTAAAAGACAAATGCCTTAAAAAATTATACATCCATACATCCGTATACATGCCATATAAAGATTTAAGCTGGGTGCAGTGGCATATGCTTATAGTCCTAACTGGTTGAGAGGCTGAAACAGAAGGATTGCTTGAGGTTAGGCATTCACATATAGCCAAGGCAACATACAGGATCCCAAATCTTTTTTAATAAAAGACATTATTTGCAATATCAATAACAGAAAGTTGGAGGGAAATGAAGCTGTAAACGTGTGGTTTTCATTCGTAGTTGAATTCAATATCAATTTATAATAGCTTATTGCAAGTGTAAGATGTCCTATATAATCCCCATGTTAACTATAAAGAAATCTCTACAAAATACAGGCAAAAGGCCAGGCGCAGTGGTTCACACCAGCAGTCCAGCACTTTAGGAGGCCGAGGAGGGCAGATTACTTGAGGTCGGGAGTTCAAGACTAGCCTGGTGAATATGGTGAAACCCTGTCTCTACTAAAAATACCAAAAAAAAAAAGAAAAATAGCTGAGCATTGTGGTGGATGCCTGTAATCCCAGCTGCTCAGGAGGCTGAGACAGGAGAATCTCTTGAACACGGGAGGCAGAGGTTGCAGTGAGCCAAGATTGTGCTGAGCTGATATTGCGCCATTGCACTCCAGCCCAGGCAACAAGAGTGAAGCTGTGTTTCAAAAGAAAAAAAAAAGAGGAAAGGGAAT